CCACAACCTCTACCACCATGAGATTCCCATTTTCTTTCCCCACAAAGCTCAGTGTGGCTGGCCCACTGATCACCACTGACTCTGTTTCCAAAAGTTCTTGAGTGTTGGTTACTCAGGACTTCAGTGTTTCTGTCTGTTCCTTCAGCATTTCCTCCTTTGAAAGGCAGCAATCAGAAAGGAAGAACAGCCCCAGGAGCTGAAACTCAAATCTTGTAATATTTATGTTTGTTAGCCATTTATTCTTAAAAAAGAAAGTAAAGTAAAGAAAAAAGATGATGAAAGCAAAACGATTCCCAGAAGAAAAGGATAAACTCTGGGCTCAAATGGAGATTGGGGATTATCTGAGAATTTAGGTTATCCATCTCGCCTTTGCTCCTAATTACCATGGGTAATTGAGAGGCACAGATCCTTAGTCTCCTTTGGGAGACTGCTGTATCAGACAGAGCTGTTCTCCATGTTTATCCCATTTTGGCGGACACATAAGGACCTGGGCCCTGGGCCTGCAGACAGGGTTTATGTTTGTCTGGATCAACCTGACCTTTCCTCTCCTGTCCCCTGCCCAGCCCATTCCTGCTCTACTTTGGTCCTGCTTCACTTACCCCAGTGCTATGTGTAATTGGTGAAAGAGAGGGCTGTGTGTTTTCTGGTGGCAAAGGCTGGACTTGGTTGTATTTCTTTCACAGGATGCTTTTCTGTTGTGTTTCTTCTTTGGGACAGTCAGAGGTTTGTGAAGTAGGGAGTGACCTGGTTCTTACTTCTTCTCCGCATCATCCCAGGGATAGGATGATAGGAGCAGGTAAGGTCACACATTCCCATGCTCTCCTGGCCAGCCCTGATTGTTTTCTCTCCTTTGCTGTTTATTATGTCTTTCAAGTGCATGTAGATAGTTCTGTCCCACCATTCCCATAGCTACCGGGCCAGGCTTTTCTATCTTGTTCTCCTTCCCTGGACTTTCCTAAGCGAAAATGCAGTGTGTCCACTCCAGGGTAGATAGCGTATATTCACTTCAGGGGAGCTCCTTCTCCTCTGAATTGATGGTGTTAAAGAGATTCTTGAAAATGACCTCCTGTCTTGCATTCTGGAAGGTGACTTCTAGAAAAACTGATAGCTGTGGATTTTAAGGCTACCTGGGAAGTGACTCAGAAGGGTAGAGTGTGATAGTGGCCCCAAGGATGGCTGAGTTCTGGGTCCTTAAATATGGTATAAGCCTATACCCCTTGGTACTCACTAATTAACATTTGCCTGACTTCTGGAGAAATGCTGATTGATTGACAGGCTTGCAGCAGCTACAAAAATACTTAAGATGTGAATGACAAAGAGTTGAGAAGGTATAGCTAGATGTTTGTGATCTACTGCTGTGTAACAAACCACCCAAACCAACTGGCTTACTATAGAAATAATTTATTCTTGCTAATCTGTCTGTGAGTTGTCCATCCCACTGGTTCCTTATCTGGTTTTACCTGAACTAACTCCTGGACCTATCCAGATGGAGGGTCAGTGGGACTGGAGCATCCAAGATGACCTCTCTCAAACATTTGACAACTGGTGATGGCTGTGGGCTGTGCCATTTCCATTTTCCTCTCTGTGGCCTCTCCTCCTCCAGAAAGCTAGGCTTCCTTATGTGGTAGTTTCAGGGCAGCCTTCAAGAAAATGAAAGTGAATGCTGCAAGCACTCTGAAGGCATCATCATCATGCTGCATTCTATTGGTGAAAGCCAAACAGAGAGTCCGTGTGGATGGGTTTACAACAGGGCATGATGACAGGGAGGCACAATCGCTGGGGACCATTTTGTAACAATCTACTGTATATACTGAGTAAAAGAAAAATATACGTTAGAATAAGCCTCAGGTTAGCCTATGGCAAGGAAAGATTATTACTGCAAAGAGGTAAGAACACAACTGGGCTGGAATTCCAACTCTGCAACCTCCTAGTTGTATGATCCTGATCAAATTACTCAGCCAACTGTGCTCCTGATAGTAACACCTGTCTTAGAGGCTTGGGATGAGTGTGAAGCAAGTAAATATAAGTACAGAGCCTAGTACCAAGTCTGGCACCCAGTAAGCACTCAAATGTTAGCTGTTGTTACTCATTTTATAGATCTGTAGTTGTGGGTAAGTTATAAACTTAATTTTCTAGTTCTGAGGCAAAGAGAAAAATACTGAGGTACAAACTTTGTTGTGTGCTAAGAGGATATGGCTAGTTCAGAAGAGACTGTGCTGTGTTAGCCCATTTTTTTGGAACACAGCAGATTTTGGGTAGCTACAAGTGATCAGAAAGAGCTCACTGTTAAAATAAACATATTTTCTTCCTAGAGCAAGTGGTTAGAGGTTAGCAAAGTGAGCCTGACTGTCAGAATCCTTGAGTGGAATCCAGCCCTCCTCTCTGCTAGCTCAGTGAACCCAAGAAAATCTGTGATCTCCAAAGTTCAATTTCCTTATCTACAAAATGAGTAGCATAAGCCCACTTCAGGTGGGCCAAGAGATTAGGCAGGGAAAGCCTTTAGTCTGTTGCCTGGCATATTTTACTCAGTGAATATTTACTTTTATTAGGATTAGTTGTAAAGATGATTTTAAGATTTTCTCTTTCCAGAAGATAAACTGTATACTCTTTAGAAATGGTTGGTGACATTAGGATAAACCATGCCTGTCTTTTTCTTGGAGGGCACCTGGACTTGCTGGGTTTGTGATAAAGTCATAAGAATAAAGTAATAACCTCTTCATTTCACCCTCTCCTTAGGCCCCATTTTTTTTTCCAGATTAGGGAGCATCATCATTTTTATGATTTAATTCTCCATAGAACTTCACAGAAGTCTACTGTAAATGTTTCTGAATAGCCTTCAAGACTTCCAGAAATCCATGAACAGGGCCCAAACTATGGATCCACACTTCTTCCTATCCAGGCTTCAGGACCCTGATGGTGTGAAGTCAGGTTCATCACTCACGCTGCCCTGGGGAAGTTCCTCCAACTTTCTTGGCCTCTCACTTTAGTCTGATTTATGGCTCGAGAAGGTTGGCCTGGAGAGTCTTAATTTAGAGCCTCTGTCAGAGGTTGTTACAGGAACATGGTGCCAGTAAAAAGCTATTTTCCTTTGCTTTTGCTTCTCTATTGCCTCTTTCATGGTGTGAAATATGAGGTAGGAAAATAAGGCTACCAAACTGGGGTTGAGGGGAGCTGTTGCAAACCTCTTGTGTAATCCCCTTGAAGTTGCCCTGGCACCTTCCTGGTCAGGGGTGCAAAGTCCTGGGTCCTTATGCCAAGGACCCTTTCCCCAAGCCTCCTTTGTCTCCCCACTCAGTTTCGGCCTGTTTCCTAAGCTGCCTGTGAGTGCTGTTCTGGTGGTGGTTACAACTGGGGCAGATCCTTAGTCTGATGTTCATCAGCTGTTTTAAACTCAACTTCCTCTAGTCAAGGAGATTCTCTTTAGTTTTGCTTCATTTGCATTATAAAGACAATAGTTATTTTCATCTTCCAGGTTCAAAATTGCATTTCAGTAGTGAATATACTATATATACCTGACTCTTGAACCTTAGATATTTTTAGGTCCTCAAGGAAATATTCAGAATTTTTCCTAGCAGTGAGACAACGAATGGTTTTCCCGTCCCAGGGTTTCTCTCTAAGACAGCTTTGAGCTCATTTGTGTCTCTTGTACACCCCCTACTTTGTGTAGTTTGTCTGTGCCTTACATACACGTGTGTTGCTAACAGAGTCATTATTTTGAAGAGCTTGACTCCTTTAGAGTTGAGTTTGTTATTTTGATTATTTGCGCCATGTTTAGTGAGCAGTGTGGCTCTCTGGGTTCCTGATACCATGTTCCCGCTCTAAAATGGCATTTTGTAACATACCATAAAAATTCCAAGGGATGGCCATGACTGTGACCTTCTCAACTCTTCAAGAGGAAAATTGTGGGATAATGCTTGTTAAAAAAAAGAAGTAATAATAAATAAGTAAGCAAAAAATAAAGTAATAATACAGGTGTACAACGTGATCCCTTTTGTGGGTTTTTTTTGTGTTTAAAAAAGGTTAAGTGTGTAGGTCTATATTTGCATGTGTTTGTATGCATGACAGAAGATCTAAGGAAGGTGGAAGATTTAACTTTGAAAGGACATGGGTTGTTCAAATTTTCTTTTCTTTTTAAAATTTCTTTATAATAAGGAAAGAAATCCAACATTGTTTTTAGTAATTAAAACAGAAACAAAAAATAGAAAGGGAAGCCAAATTGGCTTAACTAGGCAGAATTTTCAGGTAAAGAGCCCTTGAGCTAGCTATGACTGCCACAGGGCCCCATCTACTCTTTCTACTTAGACCTGGCTCTGGGGAGACCCAGGTTGGCTGTTATTGAGGCCACTAAGTACAGACACCTTCCTGCCAGGCCTGTTTTCTCTCCCACTAGATGGAAGCAACATTGTGTAATGGATTCAAGTCCATCAGCTTATTTTGTCCAGCTGTGTTGGAGGGTGGGCAGGAGCCAGGGTTGTCTCTCAGGTTTGCTCCTCTTGGGTGCTGAGCGTCACTCTGCATGAGACTAGTAGCCTGTGGCTGTGTCCTGCTGGGTCTGGTCTTGGGAGCTTCCATTTACACAGGCATTCCTGCATCAGCTTGCAGAGCAGTCTGGCTCCTGTGCCTGCTTTTCCTGGGGCCAGTAGACAGTACATCAGCAGGAGCCACTCTGAAACAGTGAGGAAATTCTAGTCCTGAGGCAAACCGCTACTCTGAGAAGCAGCAGCCCTGGAGTCCCTGACTGGCTTGTTGCTGTATCAGAATCTCTTTGGTAGGAGTATTGATGAGCCCTGGCAGTGGAGGAGGCCACAGCGGGGTTCTGGGCCTTCTGCCCCCTCATCATGGCAGGAATGGGAGACATGGCTGCCTGTGATGTTTCATCAGTCAAGCCATCAGTTCCTTGGGGCCAGGCCTGGTCTTTGCTATTTACTTTGGGTATTGGACACAGAAAGAGAGAGTAGGTTACAGGAGTGATAATCACCAGAGACTACTTTCTCTTTCAGAGAAAGTCCACTCTTGTGACCAGGAGAGGCAGAGTGCCCTGGAAGAGGCTCAGCAGAATCCCCGTGAGGGGATTGTCATTCCTGAGTGTGCCCCTGGGGGACTGTATAAGCCAGTGCAATGCCACCAGTCCACTGGATACTGCTGGTGTGTGCTGGTGGACACAGGGCGCCCACTGCCTGGAACCTCCACGCGGTAAGCCCACCCAGAGCCCATCCTGCACCTCATACTGGGTCCTGGGACAAGGGGACCAGCTCCCAGTTATGCTGACCTATCTCAGCTATATTACCCTGGTTCAGCTGAGTCACAGGAGATCAAAATTTCCTTTCTTGAGCACATGAGGTGCTGGTAGAAAGACTTAGGACCTGGATTCTGGTCAAAATCTGTCCCTTTCTAGCTGTGGATCTTGGAAAAGTACTTAGCTACTCTGAACCTCAGATTCCTGATAAGATTATGCCACTACCTGAGTCATTAGACTCCACAGATAAAAACAGGTCTTGTGTACAGATCTGAGGTAACACTGTTATCATGCTTGAGTGGTTAAAATGACATGCCTCAACATGGCTCAATGGGAACATTTATGCTGGATTGCTTTGTAGCTGCTGGACAGTACAGGGGACATTTGGTTGTCAACCCTGAGGGCTGTAGGCTTAGTGACAACACTGATCATTGCTGGGCAGTTGTGGCTGAAGTGGGCTCAGTTGCCATGGTCTCACAGACCCCCATCTCTCTCTCTTTTCAGCTATGTGATGCCCAGTTGTGAGAGTGACGCCAGAGCCAAGAGCACAGAGGTGGACGACCCCTTTAAGGACAGGGAGCTACCAGGTGAGAGATCTACCCTGCCAGTTCCCACCTCTTTCTGTTTCCCCACCTCCTTCTCATGCAGAGGCAGCTCCCTCTTCTGAGTCCATTTTTCCCATCTGAAACAGGGAACAGGGGATGCTGGGCAGATGCATCGTAGGAGCATAGTGCCAGGAGGCAAATTCCAGTCTGGGATTTGTCCCTAATTAGTCCTATGTCCTTAAACACATTGCTTCCCTTCCTTGCTCTTGCCTCTTTATCTTTAAAATATAGTCATTGAGTTAAAATCCTATCACTGCAATTCCCCACTCCATTCTCCATCCTAGTGCAACTGGGACAATATTTTGGGATGGGGGGAGGGGAACTGTATATAATTTTTTTCCTAGGGCTGTGAAGAGAATATAGCTTACAAGGAGGGGTTGTCATGAGAGATCTGGGCAGTGTCTATCACCTGCCCTTAAGAGTACCTTCAGGATGATCTCTGGTGACAGGATGACCGTGGACTGGAGTAGAGGAGTGACATGAGGCATATGAACTGAGGCCTAGGACCTTGAAATGGCTACTGGCCTGGATTTTCCCTTATTTCTTGTGAACTTTACCTACGGGTCACAATGAGATTATTAAGGATCAAGGGCTTGGAATCCTATAGTCTACTCAATACAAAATTAGGTTAGTGCTGGTGGGCACTGGGGCCACCTTCTCATGACATTAGGACTCTAAAGTGAGAATGGAAAGCAGAATCCTAAAAGTCAGGGACTTTCCACCTGAGGTTTGTAGAACTCACTTTGTCACAAAAATGGAGTCATAGAGACCAGGATACCTTCTTCTATCCATCCCCTCAACAGATGAGAATTGGGATTCTACTTTGTGCCAGGCATTGTGTATAATCTAGTGTCCCAAACTGGCATAAGGTTCACAGAATAAATGAGACAGGCTGTATGCAGAGAAAGGAAGGCATGCATATGTAAATAGTTGTGACAGGTACCCTGCAGGTTAAGAGCAAGGTGCTGTGAGAATAACAGGGAGCACTCACCTCAGAGTCCACACTTCTCTGAGTTGTCTTTAATCCAAGGTCTGGAGGTTTGGAGAGAGAAGAGAAGGAGCTAGCAGCAGCAGAAAGGGGGCTGTAGTTATGTTGAGGGCCCATTTGGTGCTGATGAACATGAGTTTTAGGGCTTCCATCCAATGCAGGTGTGAAGGGGTATTTTCCCCAGTAGAGTGGTGTAGTAAGGGTGTAGACATGGAGCAGGTATACATGTGAGAAGGCTCACCAAGCTTGGGTTTTACTGGAATAGTATATGAGGAAAGAAAGCACAAAGGACTTGGAAGTATTTACAAAGGAGATTCTACCATTATAATCTCAGCTGGATCAGGAAGCAAGTGAGAAAATGAAAAGGTTCTTGGATAGATAAAGTGATGGGTCTACTTAAATCAATTTGGACCAGTGGGAGTTCTCTCCCCTCCCCTTGTGCTACTACAGCACCTGCTTCTTACCAGTAGAGCAGTGTCTTTTGCATTCTATAATGACTGCCTGGTCATTGGCTTTCAATATATTAGTCCAGTTTATTGTGAACTTCGTGAAGATAAGAACCTTTTGCATTGTCTTCCTAGCATTTAACATAATACCTGAGCTGGTACTCAGCAAAATTTGTGGAAGAAAATAGAAAGTAGTATTATCTATTTGGTCTGATGATCCCATGTGAACTATGAGTAGAGGAATGATGGTGATTTGTGAGACTATTTGGGCCACAAATATATCCCCAAAGTGGATTTGGCTCTTGTGCAGACTTTGAGAAGTTTGGGAAGGAATGATAGTTGAGAAAGATGTTTACTTGATTGTTTACCTGGCATTTGTCTTCGAATCTCATTTTATCTTTTAGGCTGTCCAGAAGGGAAGAAAATGGAATTTATCACCAGCCTACTGGATGCTCTCACCACCGACATGGTTCAGGCCATTAACTCAGCAGCGCCCACTGGAGGTGGGAGGTGAGAATGTGAGCAGGACTCAGGCCCAGTAGGGAACACGCAGCGCTGCACAGGTGCTGCGGAAGCCTGGGAGAGTAGGGAAGTCTATCCTTTTCCTAAAAGCTTAAGCCCATGGCTTTGTCCACATCCCTGCTCCACAACTTACCCTATTTTTGAGTTGCTTATCTCTAGCTTTTAGTAACAAGGCTATCTGAAAACTTCCAGAAAGGGAAATGTTAGAGGGAGAATCTTGAATGGCAGGAAGGGTGATGGGTGTCTGATGGGAACAGGGAACACAGGGAGGGAGTGTAAAGCACTTTGTGATTTTTCTTCTGAGAAGGCAGGAGCCATATGCTTTTTTGGCCTCCAAGTTGCTCTGAGCAGTGGAATTGGATAGCCAGATCCAACTTTGTTCAGGAGTTAATATGGTAGCCGAGACAGTCCTGCCCTGAGGTAAAGTGCACATGCTCCCTGGTAACCAGCACCTCTGGAGCCCACTTGTTTGGGTTCATCAGGCCAGTCAATTGGAGAATGTATATATCCATCCACCAAGCACCTTTTGGTGCTCATATGACACACCAGGCCAGGGACTAAGGACTAAGTATCCAGAAATGTGAGGCATGTCCCTGCCTTCAAAGAACACAGCCTAGTGGAACAACTAGACCATAGACAGATACTTAACAAACTGTATGGTAAGTGGTAGGCAGAATGGAAGAACAGAGGATTGTCTAGCTCATTCTGGAGAAGTCAGAGAAGGTTTCCTGGAGGTGATAGTTGAGCTGAGTTTTGAAGGCTAAGTAGGACTTAGTTGGTCAAAGGAATGAGAAAGCCATTCCAGGAAGAAGGAAAGGATCTTGTGACTCCAGGGAAGTTCAATAAAAAGTTCAATATGGCTGAACTTTGGTGGAAGAGGAGGAGGAAGAAGAAGAAAAGAAGGAGGAGGAAGTGGAGGAGGAGAGATTGGTAATGAAGAGGTGAAATAGGCAGGCAGGAACCAGGTATCAAAGGATCTGAGAGACATGTTAAGCAAGACTTCCAGTTATGAAGCCAAAAGGGAGGCACAGCAAAGGCTGGAGGGAGGCCAGGAAAGGTACTGGGGAGAGTGAGAGTGTTCAGGTTCCTTACAGCAGCAGAAGAGCTACCATGGACTTGACAAGGATGGAAAGGCTGTGTTCTGAGCTTATATGTCTCCCCAGGGAGGGGACACTGGTTCCCCCAGCATCTTCCCAGATGTAGGGCTGTTGTCAGTAAGAAAAGGAATGACACTAGGAAGATGGACCTTGACCCCCAGGCTGAATAGAGGAGCAAGCATGGCAGTGGCCAGCAGCAAAACCACAGCATATATATTTAGGCTAGGGGTCTAGAACTGCCAGCATAGCTGTCAAATAGGCAGAGAAAGGCTTCCATCTTGAAAACCTAATTTTATGTTATATCAAGTAATTACGTATCTAGTCAAGATATGGAGACAACCTAAATGTTATTGATAGACAAATAAAGCAAATACGATATACACATAGAAGTGAACTAATTATTCAGTCTTAAAAAAGAAGGGAATCCTATTACATTGAGAACATCTGCTAAATGAAATAAGCCAGTCATAGAAGGACAAATACTGTACAATTCTGCATCCCTGAGCTATTTGAAATGGCCAGGAAAAATCAGAGCATAGAATAATATTGCTAAGTGCTATGGGTAGAGGGAAATGGGGAAATTTCAATCAACAGGCACCAAGTTTTAGTGAAGCAAAATGAGTAAGCTCTAGGGACCTGCTGTATAAATTGTCCTTATAGTTAATAGTACTGTGTCATGTACTTAAAATTTTGTTAAGAGGATAAATCTCATGGTAAGTGATCTTACCACAATAAAATAAAAAAAATTTTAAAGGAAGTAAAAGAAAGGGAGAAAAAAGAAAAGGAAAAAATCAAATACAGTGGTTGTCACTCTTGTACACTTCTTGTTGTGGTTCCTGCTGTTAGCATCCTATGGTCCTATGATCACACAGGCTGGTTTCTGACTATGGATCTCTTTCTTCTCACTCTGGTCAGGCTCCCTGTTGGAGGAACACAGCAAAAATTCTGAGAAAGGTGGAAAGAGTGTCTAACTGGTCACTGATGGGAGCTGCTTTGAGGCTGCCCATGGTGCTCAGTGGCTTGGTATCTAAGAGAGGCTGTACCTCAATTGCCAGCAAGAACAGAAGAGTGAGTTTTGAAAAGGTGCACTCAGTATTACATGCCTTTACATTATTTATGTTTAGAATATGCAGAAATAACTGTGGTTTCATGCAAAACCAGGCATGAGTTATAGTAGATCCCCTCCCCATCCTCCTTTCACTTTCCATGGTTTCAGTTACAGTCAACCATGGGCTGTAAATATTAAATGGAAAATTACAGAAATAAACAATTCATAACTTTTTAATAACTTTTATTACAGTATATCATTTTAATTGTTTTATTATTATTGTTAATTTCTTACTGTGTCAAATTTATAAATTAAATTTTATCACAGGTATCTATATTAGGGGAAAACATAGTATAGAGTTCTATACTATTGGTGATTTCAGATATTCTCTGGGAGTCTTGAAATGTATCCCCCATGGATCAAGAGAGACTACTGTATTTAGGTTGATTAAAATAGGGGAAAAGCTATAATTACAGCTACTTGGAAGGCAGAAGCAGGATTGCAAGTCTGAGGTCAGCTCAGACAAAATTAGTGAGACCCTATCTCAAAAACAAACTACAGACGGAAGGGCTGGGGTATAGCTCAAATGATAGAGCATTTGCCTACCATGAATGAGTCCCTGGGTTCAATCTTCAGTTTTGCAAAAAAAAGGTGGGGAGAGGGGGAAGAAGAGGGCATGGGCTTAAAGTCCCAGATCTGGATGGTCCTACCATAATTCACTGAAGGCTGCTGGCTCTGACCACCTGCCAGACAGGTCTGGCAGTTCTGCTTCAGTCCTGTAGAGACTAGACTTCAAGCGCTATCCCCCGACCCCATTAGCTTCCACAGAAGCCATAGCTCTTGTGCTCAGCTGTGGTCTTGGTTACAGGAAAAGGATTACAGATGGGCTCTGCCCACCAGGAGGAGTAAGGATTGGCACCTTATGTGCATTTCACAGGTCAAAGAGATTTTTGTAGACAATAAAAACTAAGTAATGTATTAATGGTTGTAATACCAATGTGTCCTTAGGGAAGGAACTTTTTTTATTTTATAAAACCTTTTCTTTTAGGTGTAATTTAGAGCTGGGAAACATTTTTAAAAACAGTTTCCAGAAAGTGTTTTTCATTTTAAACCAATATCAGCCTGACCTTAGCTTGGTTTTGATAGGAATGAAAAGTTTGGACTGCATTGGTAGTTGTATTACCTAGAGGCTGGACTTTTAATCATAGAAAGATAGTATGAACTAATACATAGTTTAGAAATCAAGGAAGTGGGTAGAGAGAGATTGAAGCAATTGTGTTAGGGTTGTCAGCTTTCTTGGGTTTGGAACCCTCCCAGATCTCCCCATTACATGGAGCATAAGCCCTAGCTCTCACCTGAATAGCCGTGTGGCATGGTCTTGCTGGTGTCTGGCCCTCCTTGGATATTCTTTTCCCTCCCACCATTAGTTCAGGCACTGGTCCTCCTCCTCATGCTAACAGGTGAAGCCCTGCCTGCCCTGGAACCTCCAACTGCTGCTCCTTTAGCTAGAACTTGATTCTCCTTCTTCCCACAACTGGCCCCTGCTTCTTCATTGAAACTTCACTTCTCTGGATCCTGGCCAGTCAGGCCTCCTCTGCAATGGAGGAGCAAAAGCATAGGACAACTAGCCATTGGGTAGCACATCTGGAACAGGGCTGAGGAAGGGCATTGGGAAATCTAGGCTTTCTGGAGTTTGACCTTGGCTTTGGAATTCAGGTAGAGCTGGGTTTGCAGGGATGAGTTTAAAAAAGCCGCATTTGAACTCTCCCTTTTAGGCTCTGGCACTTAAAGCTGAGCATTAGTTGAGGCCAGTGGGAAATGGTCCCATGTGGAGATAATGGGAAGAAGGGACAGGGAGGATGTTTGGGCACAAACAAGGCAACTTGCCACCTGTCAGACATGGTGATTTGGCTTTGAATCAACTCTCACATCTCAACCCACCCCTGACATAAACTCTATGCTGGGTTGTGAGAACATCTCAGGACAAGGGCACAGTCCCTGGGATCTGAACCCATAGTACTACAAAGCCAAGGTGAGAATGGAGGCTGGGAAAGGGTTGCCAGGATTCAGGGCAGTTAGAATGGGCTTGACATAGGAAGTGACATTTGAGTCACATCTTCACTTACAAATGGGAAAAGGCCCCTATCAGGATGGACCATGAATAAGGCAATCTCGGCAGAGGAGACAGGTGGGTAGTGAGAGATGAACAAGGTGGGGTGGGCATCACATAGAAGGAATGGAAAGAAGGAGTATGATTAAGCTTGGGAGGCAGGCTGTGGACAGGCAGGAGCTGAGGCTACAGAGATGGGCAGAGCCACATGGTGGCCTGGCCTCCCGTGTCATGCTAGGGGTATCAGGGACCACAGGAGTGGAGAGCATTTGTGAACAGTTATGCTGATGGCATCATGAAAGTGGATTGGAGAGAGAAGGAAAGGGGCAGGAAGGCTACAGTTGACAATATGAAGGTGATGAGCATGTGGCTGGGGGAAGAGAAGGCTTACTAAAGCAGTTGCAATGAAATCGACAACACTTCAAGACTCATTAGATACAGGCAGTGGGAGAGAGTGAGAGGTCTTGATGTCTCCCTTTTCTGGCCTCTTAGCCTGATTGAGTGTCAGAAAGCAGTGCTGTCCAAATCTGAAAATAGACAAAATAGAATGGGGTGTCTGTGGAAACATCTATGGCTAGCTGGAAGAGGGCACCCACAGATATCATCAGAGGACAGGCATCCTCAGTGAGCACTTGCTGGATGATTGAGTTATCACCTTAGTAACCCCCACCTGGGCTCCAGGGGCAGCACTCCCCCTATGTCAGCCCACCATGGCACCCACTAGCCTTTATCA